GGAAGGGCAAGGGAGGGTGCGGGGATGCCAAAGCGTCGCTGCTGGCTGACTTGAGTCCCACCGACAGCAATCGGCGGAGCGCTGCGTCAGCACCCTGCTCGACCTCATCCAGACCAAAGTCAACTACGTGGTACAGGAGGCCATCGTCGTCATCAAGGACATCTTTCGCAAGTACCCCAACAAGTATGTGGCTGCCTGTGAGACTCAGGGGGATGCTCCTGGTCTTAAGACGGGCTCTTTCTGTCCCTCTGCGTTTGCGGGGGGACCCTAAAAACACCCAGGTGTGGGCAAGGGCTGGGCTGCTGCTCCCTTCGGGTGGGACAAGTTGGTGGTGAAACCACCTGGAGCCTCCCTGCAGCGAAGCTGGCTTTATTTTTTTTTCCAGTCGGGGTTGTGATCACTGCTTAATACTGCCCCACAAAAAAAATTAAATAATTAAAAAATCAGAAAGCCAGCCCCAGCCCCGTAATGGCAGTTCTGGATCCAGAGAGCCAAATGAGCAAGAGCTGCCGGAGATTTTGAGGTGCCTCACGTCAGCATAAACCGTCTCTGGCTCTTAATTCAGCGCTCCTGATGCTGGATCGAGGGCAGCAGGAAGAGAAGGGAATGTTCCAGCTGAGCCAGGATGAATAGGCAACGGCGTGAGCATGAAGCCGTGTGCTAATAGTGGTGATAAATACTAATGAGCTGAATCAGTAATGAACAGGAGCTCTGCACGAATAGCCAGCGACTCTGGTCTCCTCCTTCTCTGCGGCAGCCCCCGTGAGCAGGGCCGAGAAGTTAATTCAGCAGCAAGGCTGGAGAGCAGAGAAGCATGCTGGCATGGGCAGTGTCATGTTATGCTGCAGCCCTGGGGAGAGGGGACAGCCCCAGGGGGTGGCAGGAGCGCTTACCTGTGCCTTCAGTGACATCCTGGTTCTACTGAGGGTGACAGGACGCCGTTTAGTGTTAGAGTGGAGCTAGGGTTTCTTGCTTTCAGTGACCGCGTGTCTTCTCCTCGGGAAGGTACGAGAGCGTGATCGCCACCCTCTGCGAGAACCTCGCCTCCCTGGACGAGCCCGAGGCCCGGGCTGCCATGATCTGGATCGTGGGAGAATACGCCGAGCGGATCGACAACGCCGACGAGCTCCTGGAGAGCTTCCTGGAGGGCTTCCATGATGAGAGCACCCAGGTGTGGCGGGGAGGTCTGGGAGGGCACCCAGGTGTGGCGGGGAGGTCTGGCCGCCAGCGCAACCAGTGGGTTGAGGGGTGCTTTTCAGGGGTATTTCTACCTTATGGAAACTTCCTACTGTGCAAAACCCCGTGAAATGCTGTTGCGGCGAACAGTCTATAAATGTAAAGTAGCAAAGCTGGCTGTCCCAGCCGACCTGCTTCGGGTCACAAGGGACTGTCGGAGCTCAATCGCTGCTGCTCGACCTCGGAAAAGTCACAGGTTGCTCCAGCCTTCGCCCTTGCGGAACTGTGTAACCCCGTCCCGAGGTCTTGCCCGGTAACCTCCGTGTCAGCTGGGCTGGA